TACTCCACAAAACCTTTACTAGATAAGAAGACTGGTCCAGGTTTGTGGGCAGGTGTGTCAGTTCTGCTTTCCTGACATCCCCCAGCTTGGCCATCCTGTTCAGGGGCCATTCTGTTCCATGGCACCTGGGCCCCAGAAACTTGAGCTTTCGGATGTTTCCCATTGACTGCAATCTGGCTGCCTGTGCTTGAGGATGACCTCTCAGATGTTTGAGAAGTTTTGATTTGTGTTAGAAGACTGTACAAAACAGATGCAGGTATGGCCTAACATTTCTTCTAACTAGCTAGCCAGAGGAGTTTTTGTCTGAATTACTTTAGACCGATTTATTTCACATGCTTTGCCCTGTCAGTCATCCCTGTGAAACTGCATTTGGCGATACTCCCAGTATCTCTTATCAAATTGTCAACAATCAACTCTTTTTAGGATTTAAAGATCTGAAAAATTGTTCCCAGGGATAGAGATGCTTTCTCGTACTGGGCTGTTGGTTGGGACAGACTCCTTTAGCACCTATGTGTGGGTTAGTTTGTCTTTGGGGACACAGGATTTGGATCCCTGTATGCATTAAATAGCTGAAGTTTGAGCAGAGCGCAATACCTCCCTGCTTTTAAGCTAGTAAGGGCACATGTCCAACCTTGTAGTAATGTTCCAGTCCTTCTCATCAGGACTTTTTCACCTCCGGGCGGGTGGCTTAAGCCCCCTGCAGGTGATTCTCATCACAGTTGCACACCATTGTACAGCTTTTCTTGGTAAGTGTTATCAAACACCATAGATGATGAGTTGTTTGTCTCAAATACTGATTTGGGGGTCAAAATGCAGACTGCTGCATTTAACTCTGTTCATGCTCTAATGGATTAAAGCTAGAGATGAATCGATTCAGACTGGGCGTGAGGAAGAAGTTCTTCCCCATGAGGGTGGTGAGACCCTGGCACAGGTTGCCCAGAGAGGGGGTGGAAGCCCCATCCCTGGAAGTTTTTAAGGCCAGGCTGGATGGGGCTCTGGGCAGCCTGATCTAGTGGGGGATGTCCCTGCCCATGGAGGAGGGGTTGGAACTAGATGATCTTTAAGGTCCCTTCCAACCCTGACAATTCTGCGATTCTGTGGTTTTATCTGTCTGTAGATCTAGGTTACTCTAGAATAAAATCTTTCTTGAAGTTACTTGTTTTTTATATTCTTGGTGCAAGATCTTATGAGCTAACACCATCCTTTTCCTCCCTGTCCCAGTGATAAATAGGAGGGCTTTCTGGTTGTGTTCCTCTCCCTTGGCCTTTCAGTAGTCTTTTCCTTCCCCTTCAGCTAAGGGACACGTAATTACAGTGAGGTGACATCTTTAGGGTACCACAAAAGAATGAGCATTGGAAACTGGCAGAGCAGCAACATGTCCTGCTTGTACACTTACCAAATGGTATTTCGAAGTCGTGTGGGCATTTGGGGTTGGTGTTTTTTTCCTCCACTTTAGAATTTGGCTATATAAAATCAGAGTTTTCGTACATGACAGCTGGAAACTGATGTTATTAAGTACAGTATTCTTTTCTAGACAAGGCCTTGGAGTCTCCTGTGCTACTACTTTCACTTGGTATTCTCTCTTTTATTTTTTTGATGTCTTTGAAGAGCTTTCTCTCTGTGGTGATGACATTCACCTTAACAGTTGGGCAGCTCATGAGAGGCATACTGAGCTGTAGAGAGGGGAAAGGACTACGGAGCCTGCAGGCACCTCCGGCTCCTTCATCCTGCCGGTGTCACTCTATGAGCTGTAGGCCATGTGGTGCAGCTCTAGTCTCCTCACTTTCCCTAAGATCTGGCCCTTCATGCCTGTTCATGTTCAAGGGTATTTGCGAGAGCTTACCCCCTTTTTTTCCTGCATTCCTTTAGATGAACCTTGACTTCACCCCAAGTCTTTATTTTTCTAAACTCTGTTTGCAGTGTTCTTAAGCTGTTCTTGGAGATGCGATAACTTTATTATTTTGCCTTACTGGTTGGGTGCAAATGCAACACTTAAGCTAAGGATTAATAGTAAAGAAGACTTGCTATGTGGCCAGTTTTAAACCTGGTATTTCTACTTATACAGGGGCTTAATGTAGATAATACGTCTGTATCAGCACTGCTGGTGTTGTGAGTGCTCTGAATCCCAGGGTATTCCCGAAATACAACCCTCTCCCCAAACGTAGCTCTCATAGAGGGTCTATGTGAGGACAGAGCACAGGCTGCTCCTGGAGGGACCCAGGGCCTGGGACACGTGTGGCTCGGCCAGCGAGAGCCTCGGGGCTCGGGGTGGTGGGAGTTTTAAGTAAGTTTAAAAGTTCCCTGAGCCCCAGAGGCACTGTGGGTTTCTGTGCCTCCTGCCCCAAAACTTTCAGGGTTGTTTCTGGACCTGGGAGAGCAGTGAACTTTCTGGGAGGGGTATAGAGGGGATTTCAAATAGTGGAGTTTTCTCCCTGAAAGCCAAAGGAGTTTATAAGTCTCGTTCACGTAAACTCACTTGCTTTAATGACTTTCTGATGTAGTTCTTGAGCGTGGAAGTGGCTTCATGCTAATGACCTGAGTCAGCATATGTAGACTATGTATGTTCAGAAAAATACCTTGAATTTTGAAGGTGTTCTTAATAGATGTACGTAATATTTGTACCATATGTTCTGAGTTACCTCTCCTTGCAGCCTCACAGTTAATTACTGCTTGGTTCCGAAGGCTTTCATTTACAAACTGAAAGGAAGACTATTAAAAAAAAAACTAAAAAAATATGTCTGAGGCTGTTTGCCTTTTATCTACTGAAACAATGGGTAATCCTTCATCAAGAATTTTATCTGGAGGGTTTCATTTCATGGGCATGGATTTAGTCCTTGTAAACGCCTGTATGGGGCTCACTGAAGATAAAGTCAAAATTTCAGCATTTGACTGCAGGACTGTGAGTTCATCTTTGCATCTGTTTCAGTTTCTTAGTGTCAAAGCATAGATGTGTCATTGCCTAGGGGATAATAGCAAACCAGAACACCACATGTATGATGCACTTAATAAAAAAGAAAGTTGTGAGAGGAGTGCTTTTAAACTTATAACATTTGTCCTAACGAAAAAGGTTCTTATGTAGGGCCTAAAATGGACTGTAGCATTGTCTGCTGTTACAGCATTGTTGCTAGAAACTCTATTTTATGTGTGAGCTTGCAGTCATTTTTTTAGTAAATGCTTTAAATAATGCATAGTATAATTAATTGTAATTGTAATAGTAGTTCAGGTTCTAAACAATTCCCTATTTGGCCAACCTGGCCTGAGAAGCCAGTAGTCAATAAAGGATACCCTAGGAAAGCCAAATCTTTATTTTTATCACATGTGAGTGCCTACGGTGTCAGTGGAATAGCAGAGCAAGTGTTCTAGTGAATACTGATGAGTTACCTCTCCGTGGCAGGCTAATGGTGCCATTTTTCCAGCAAGCCGGGAGAAGCCAGGTTTTAGATGTCTCGAAAGCTGTACTAAGGCTAGCAGCATGGAAAAAAGAGAAGAGACAGCAAATTCTGGAGTTCTCAGAATGCAGAGAAGGAAATGAGCAGCTATACTTGAAATACTTTTTTGCAGTTGCATGCAGTTCCAATGGCACGTGAGTTCTGCACAAAGGCAGGCGTACTCCGTCCCCAAGTTCTGTTAAAGTCATTGCTCGTGTACTAGTTCTTGCATCAGACACAGTTTAAAATGCGTCTCTTGAGAGAAGAATCTTCCCCCCCGCCCCAGGTTTTCTCCAGTACTTTTCACACACTGAGTCCCTGGTTTTGTCCCACGAGATGGCACTGTCTCCTGTGGGAAGGACACAAACGCTTCAGCTCTCCCCTGCCCTGGGCAGGTCATAGAATCACAGAATCACTCTCGGCTGCCCCTGCCCTGGATGTGCTGGGTTCAGCAATAACTCCAGTCCAAGAGTTTTCTGAAAATTGCGGTATTTTCCTGTTAGGATATACCTTGTCTTTCTGATATGAGTTATGTCGATGTTCTTAGACACAAAATACTGAAATTTTCTGTCTCGTAGTGTTAGCTTAGAAAAACATCTTGCCTGTTCTTGTTTGTAGAAGGTTTCTGGCCTCCAGAGGAATCTTATTATGGTGTGGAAGTTAAAGCCAGGTCATGCTGATCCTAGAATGCTGGTTTACTTCATTTTGAGTCAGAATTGTGTTACTTTTGCACATGAGAAGGAATGATCGGTAGGAATGATTTGTAGGAGGGAAGGGAATAATTTCTATAGGATTTGCCAAATCCTCTAAAGGTGGTGTGTTTTTTCTGCAAGCTGATACAAAAAAGGTGTATGCATTGGGGAAATCAAGAACTGTAGTGACAACTTCTCTGCAAGAACACAAGGCATCTGTGTTGTATGGAAAGGGCGCAGTGTTGCTGCTGTTGCTGAATTGTCTCTGGGGACGCATTATTTCCAGTCAGCTTCTTGCTGGTTTAAGAGGTCCCAAGTAGAGGGAATTTGTTTTCTCGTTAGGAGGTTTTCCTAGTTAGCAGTTAGACTAAGTGTGCATTGTCGGTGGAGGTTGTTTTACTTCAGGAGACTATGCCGCTATTAAATGTTCACCATTGAAAAGGGATAGTTTACTTAATTTACTTACTTTATCTGGTTGGCTTGTAGAAGAATGGATTATGATGATGATGATGACATTCCCCAGCTTTCATCCCATACACTGGCTGCTCTCCAGGAGTTCTATTTGGAACAGCAGCAGAGAGAGGGCATGAAGACGTCCCAAGGCTTTAATCAATATTCCATTGGCTCCATCGAAGAAGACTGGGTAAGAAACTATGAACTCGAGTGACTGAAGCACAGTTGGAGGAGTAGCCTCTACTGAGTGTCTTTTGTGGATGGATAATGATGTGAAATTCAAAAGAGCAACACCGAAGATGTTTTTAGAGTAGCAAAATCAATCTTAATGGGTCACAGGGATATTTACTTTAATACTAAAGTGAAATTTGCTTTAATACTGAGTCTGGGTATAGTTTTGCATTGTACATGTGCGTGGGGGATACATACTGAAATTACACAGGGAGGGAATTGAGCTACCAACAGAGGCAATTCATCCCTTTTGGAAATTTTAACTCCAGCCTGGCATGTAAGTAAAGTTTCTTCCTTGAGCTTGAGACAAGGTGTAACAAGATCAAGTGATCTTTCCTTTCAAATCATACTCCTTTCTGTTTTATTTCTTTGGGTTTGTGGGTGGCTGCTTTGCTGCTTTTTTTTTTCTGACAGGCTGATTTTTGATTTGTCTCTGGGTTGGTTTGTTGTTGTTTTGGGTTTTTTTACTCTTTTTTTCTGATCTTTTTCTGATTTAGTGCTTTTATGCTTTATTTCCCTCTATACTGTCACTTTTTAAGTTCATTTTTTCCTCTTCCACTGGAGTAACTCAATTTAAGAGCAGATAAATACTGTGCATCTGCACATTGGATTTCAACTAACCTTGTCAGTGATTCTGCATTTTTTTTTATTTTCCTGATGCTGCAGTAAATGGTTTGGAAACACATGGAGTAAGCTACCTGCTGCATGTCGCAGTCAAAAGACTGTCAGGAAAATAGTCACCTTTCCGGCTTTACAGTTTATGAACTAAGAAGTTGCTGTGGGTTTTGGTTTTCTTCAAACGTGCCTCACCACACCTACCCATACATAGCACCGGCAGCAGATTTGATGTTTCTAATTGTGTGTTATCTGTGTTATCTATCTCAGCAACTGAGCCAGTTTTGGTACAGCGAGGAAACTGCATCGTGCCTGGCTAATGAAGCAGTTGCGGCAGCTGGAAAAGGTGGCAGGTGGGTTCTAGTAATTATGTTGTAGATTTAACATATCTCTTCTGTAAATACTTTGTTTCTACTATGTAGGTAGAGCATCAGTTTAATTCATTACATCAGTTGTGCTTCGTCTTTGTTCAAGTGAAATATTGCAGAAATGCTTTGCAGCTCCTTATTTGATTAATAGTTCATACTGACCTTACCATTTAACATTTCGCTGAATGTTGTAGGCTCTGCCTTGTAAATGTTTGCTGTGAATCTTTCAATTTTTTGAGAAATACAAAGAGCTCCAGAGCATATTAGTGAACTTGTAATTTTTTCTCTCTGTTTTCATACAATGTTTCTGTAGAACAGATGGAAAAACTTTGTTTTCTCCCTGTTTCTGTAAGGAGTTGTTTTTAATTTTAAGGTCTCAAGTATATTTCCACGCTGTTCTAAACAAGATTTTCTCTGTAGTTAAGCTTAGGGTCTTTGGGAAGCATGGAGGTTGAATCGGTAACGGCTTTAATTCTTAAACTCTGTTATTAAATAATTATTTGTTAGAAGGGACGAAGAATAGCTTACATTTGGGGGATTAATGTTTAAGATGTTTTCCCAAAGCATCCCGGAGGACTGCTGTAGGCTTTTGTTGCTCTGTGCTTTTTAAATTAATACTTCGTATTATCGTCTCTTTTTCAGGATAGCATGTGTTAGTGCACCAAGTGTGTACCAGAAACTGAAAGAACAGGATGGTAAAGATTTTTCAGTGTGTATACTGGAGTATGACAGAAGGTTTTCTGTATATGGAGAAGAGTTTATCTTCTATGATTACAACCACCCTTTGAACCTACCTGAAAATCTCTTGCCACATAGTTTTGACATCGTAGTAGCAGATCCACCCTATCTCTCTGATGAATGTCTTCAAAAAACTGCAGAGACCATCAAATATTTAACAAAAGGAAAGATTCTGCTTTGCACAGGTACAATTAATAAAAAATAGAAAGTCACCATTATGCATCTTCTTTCTCTCAAAAGACAAAACTTAATTGAGAAAAACACTAACTCAGTAATACTAGTTTATCAGTAATTCAAGGAGGAAGGAATATGTATCCTAAGATTTTTACTGGAATACTTTAGTTCAACCTTTATTTTAAACTGAAGGCATATGGTTTTTTAATAGTTGAAGTAACTACTTTTTTATATGGCTTTATGAATTTTACTAAATTTTTGAAGAATTATAAGACACCCTGCAAAATTCCAGATTTTAAAAAAATTTTATTTTTGTAAAAGGGCCATTCTCTGTAATTGCAGTGACTGAAGCCTGGGTGTGACAAACGTGCAGCTTATTGTTAATGTCTTATTCAACAACCTTAAGAATTTGCCATTTTTTAAACGTATCAGTAGCTGCAGGATTTCAGCTGCCACGTGCTACTTCGCATCTAAGATGAGCTGAGTAGGCAGGGGTTGGTCAGTTCTCCCTTGTGGTGAGTGATAGGACAAAGGGAAATGGCCTCAAGTTGTGCCAGGGAAGGTGCAGGTTGGATATTAGAAAGGATTTCTTTACTGAAAGGGTTGTCAGGCATTGGAACAGGCTGCCCAGGGAGGTGGTTGAGTCACCATCCCTGGAGGTGTTTTAAGAGACAGGTAGATGTTGTGCTGAGGGACAGGGTTTAGTGATGCTGACAGGGCTAGGACAAAGGTCGGACTCAGTGATGTTGAAGGTCTCTTCCAGCTGAAACTATTCTATGATTCTATGATTCTAGTCTAAATCTACCCTGCTCTAGTTCTCCCTGGAGCCTTCTCTTCTCCAGGATGAACAACCCCAACTCTCTCAGCCTGTCATAGCAGCGGTGCTCCAGCCCTTTGATCATCTTTGTGGCCCTCCTCTGGACCTGTGCCTACAATCTTGTTACAAGACATCTGAAGACAAACAGGCAACTTTTGTAAAAAAAAAACAAAAATGGCATAATCCCTCTATGCATACAATTAGAGGAACATCAACTAAGCTGGCAAAAGAAAGAAAAAATAATACACGGACATAGAAAACCTCTTTGTTTAATTGCACGTGGCAGTCGTGCACAAGGAAGGTTCTCAGAATTTTTTTCCCTAAAATGGGTAGGTGGTCCTTCAGTTTACAATGTTTGAGAAATAACTGCTAAAGGAAGTGATTTCTCAGTCTGTAGCTGTAAATATCACACTGCAGTTTATTTAAGTAGAAGACTGTATGTAATCTGTTTGCATTTCCCATGGCTCCCTACCATATAATTTCTTCAGCACATAGCAACAAGATTGAGTTCGAGTTTCTGTTTTCTATAAAAGGGGCACTGATCTTACCCTCTACCTATTTTTATGAAAGCTCTCAGACATTCATTTCCTTGGGGCATCTTCCATTCTTTCAGATTTATTTTAAATTTTCCCAATAGATTTGGTTGTTAAAGAGGGCTGGCAGTGTAGCTGCTTTAAGCTTTCCTTCACTGAAAAAGCAGGCTCTGTATATATGCGTTAGGGAAGAGCTATTATAAGAGCCCAAACACTCTGTTACTGTTTTTTCATCATACCGCAGGTGCAATCATGGAGGAACAAGCAGCAAAGCATCTTGGTGTGAAGATATGCAAGTTTATTCCAAAGCACTCACGGAATTTAGCCAATGAATTTCGATGTTATGTGAACTACGCTTCTGGACTGGACTGATTCTTGTAAGAAGATCTACAACTTTTTCAGTCAATCTCCTTTCTGTTTGTTTTTTTTATCAGTGACTCCACATTTCTCAGAGTTGAAATATCTGCTCCAAGTACTGTTTTCTGGGCTAGCTTTAATCGTAGTATCATAGAGTGTTAGGAGTTGGAAGGGACCTCTAGAGATCATCTAGTCCAACCCCCCTGAGAAAGCAGGATCCCCTGGGGCAGCCACACAGGAACGTGTCCAGGCGGGTTTTGAAAGTCTCCAGAGAAGGAGACTCCACAACCTCCCTGGGCAGCCTGTGCCAGTGCTCTGTCACCCTCACAGTAAAGAAGTTTCTCCTCATATTGAGGTGGAACTTCTTGTGTTCTAACTTAATTCCATTATGTCTTGTTCTATTGCTGGGCACCACTGAAAAGAGATTGTCCCCTTCCTCTTGACACCCACCCCTCAGATATTTTTGTACGTTAATAAGATCCCCTCTAAGCTGTCTCTTTTCAAGACTAAACAGCCCCAGTTCGCTCAGTCTCTCTTCATATGAGAGATGTTCAAGTCCCTTGATCATCCTCGTAGCTCTCCATTGGACTCTCTCCAGTAGGTCCCTGTCTCTCTTGAATTGAGGAGCCCAAAACTGGACACAGTATTCCAGGTGTGGTCTCACCAGGGCAGAGAAGCGGGGCAGGGGCAGCTCCCCAGCCCTGCTGGACACACTTTTCTTAATGCACCCCAGGATCCCACTGGCCCTCTTGGCCACAAGGGCACATTGCTGTCCCATGGACAACTCACTGTCCACTAGGACTCCACGGTCTTTCTCCACGGGGCTGCTTTCCATCAGGACATCCCCTAATCTGTACTGGTGCCTGGTGTTATTCCTTCCCAGATGCAGGACTCTACACTTACCCTTATTGAACTTCAGGAGGTTCCCCTTGGCCCAGCTCTCTAGCCTGTCCAATCAACACAGTGTGATGGCCTCCTGTGCGTTATATCTTACATGGTAGGTAAATGGGGACCAAACAATGCAGGTGCTGGATAATGGGAACCCCTCTATTAGAGTTTCATTCTAATTGGTAATTTTTACCATTCAAGGACTCTTCAGTGACCTCTCTGAAGTGATTTTAGCCTCTTAGCTTAGAGCAACACACAGGTGCTTGCCTCATAGACATCAGAATCATTGGATCCAAACTGATGACTTGGAAGCCAGTGCATGACTGAAAGAGCATGATTTGTAGTCTCCTTTCAATCTTGAGAGATGCTCCCTTAGTAAAAGGATTGAGGGATATTTGTTCTGAATGTGTCCTGTGTTTTTGGATTCATCATCCAGCAGGCTGATGTTTTTATAAAGGATAATTAGATGAGAAAATAAGTCCACTTCTGGGGACGCCTCTCCAGTTGCTTTTAATAATAATCAGAACTACCTACCAGTTGCCAAGTAAGACCAGCTATCCAGTATTGTATAAGAGCCAGGCTGGCTTTTAAAAAACTGTGGTTATTATTTCACCTCTTCTCTAAAGCTTTGTCACAAACCCAGACTTTCTTTTTGTAAAAGGTAAGATATATTTTGTCATCACTTAACTCCGTGCAAACTTGGGTATGTATGATGTACTAGAGAAAAAGTAATGTAAGTCATTAAACATCTCTTTCAGTAATGTAAGTCATTAAGCATCTCTTTGCAGAAGTATGGTGCATTTATTTTGCAATGTTTATCTGTTGGCACAACAGAAAGTCGCAAGCTTTTAAAAAAACACACAACCAGGCCATTCTGTTTACTAGCTGAATACCAGAAGTGGTATAAACCTGATGTCTCCTTGAAAAAAACACAATAAGGATCTCCCTCATACATTCATCGGGCCAAATCACCTGGAATTCAAAGTAATTAAATAAAAGTGAAATGCATCAGCCAGTCCTCACAGGAGTGCTCCACACTGTGTTCATGGATTCTCACTTGGATTAAATATAGTGCCTGCTTTTTTAGTAGATTTCAATATCAGGGCTAAAGATGATTTACAGGTATGTCAAGTTTGTAGTTAGAATAACAGTCCTTTTTTTTTTCCCAGTTGCTTGGTTTTATCTTTGACTCTCGTTCCACAGACTGTAGCAAAGCAGTGAAATAGAATCATCTTAGAAATTGCTGAGTCTTACAAGGCCACTGAGGAACAACAGTGTATTGATAAGCTCCCACTGTTTCTAACAGACAAATGTTAAATTTTCTATACAAGGTTTGAGCTTCTATCAGTTTCAGTCAAAATAGACAATACATTCAAAAAACTTTGCTTTGGGATAGATTAAATTTTTGATAACTGGGAATTTTTAAAGGCAGTTTTGACACTACTTATGTATTTTTGGGTGAAACCTTGTTCATAAATTCCAAGCTACTCAGCAGCCTTATTAAGTGTAAATATATTATACAAAATATAATTACTTGTCTTTTTATGTAATATTTATATATTGGGATCATGAAAAAGGCTATCAGAAATGCTGCATCTACAAAATGAAGTGCCTAAAATGAAGTACTAAGAAATTTATTTTGCGGTGAGGATAAATCTAATTAAGCTTGTGAGACAAGATTTTTCATCAGGTAGTGATAATACTCGTGTTTCTGTGGATTTCTGCTGTTTGGATGCAGACTTTCCTATCTAGTGGAATAAACAAATGAGCATGAGATGAAATAACATAGATGGAATATAGTCCTCTCAGCGCTCAGAGAATTGTGCTTCCTGAGCTAGGCACAAGTAGTTTGTAAACACCCATCCAAATCACTGTCGCTCTCTTCCCCATTTTCCAGATCTGTTGACTTCCTAAGGTTCCCTCCTCGAATTTTCTATCTGCTGCTTCCTCCCCCATCTGCCCCAACAGAGCGTTCCCGAGTTTCATGATACTGGTTTTTTTTTCACACACCTTGGTTTCTATCAGACCAGCAGTAGGAGGTGTTAAAAATGAGAGGAGTGGAGCACAGGAGGAGCTCGCAGGGAGGATGGAGACCAGGAACTTCTGAGGCCAGACACTTCTGACAGTCTCTGTGAGCCTGCGGCCGGCAGGGTTTTGCCAGAAGCCATCCCTGCTGCTGAGCCCAATAAAACCAGAATCTCCCCTGAAAATGACTGTCTGCAGGTGACACATAGCTGGGTTTAGTTGTTTTCCAGGAGGCTACGCTGTTACTTTTATGTGGCTGTTTCAAATTAAAGCAAAGCAGAATGCTAAATATACAGGTATTGGCACAAATCTTAACTTCAAAATACTTACCTGTTTGATGTTTATTACTTCAGTGACTTGCACACCAAGTAGATGATGGAGACAACTCCTGAAACTTTATTTTTAACTGCATTGGGACTTCAGGTGGGACAGGTATAATTGCCAGAAGGCATGATGTTCTTCCCCTGACACCCACCTAAATCAGAACATGCTGTTCAAATACAAGCTTCACCTGTGTTGTGATTTGCTATTGCTACAGTTGTCTGCTGTATTTTGGTCAATCTGTGTTGGGCTCTCCAGATCAGAATTAAAAGACAACATTGTGAACTTCAGAGACCTTTCGTAATAAAAATAAAAGTACACCATTCAGCTGCACCAAGAAATTCAGTTCACCAAGAAAACAGCTGCCGCTTCTCGGATGTAGGTCAGATGGCTCTGAAAAGAGGCACTGTGAAGATGCACGATTATGAAAATGAGGGTAGATGTAAATGTGGGTGGATGCACTCAACACAGCAGCCCCTTGTCCACCCGCTTCCCTCTTAAAAGCCCGGTGAGCTCAGGCAGCTGCCCAAGCAGAGCTTGACTAGTGGCATTCACGGCCTTCACCAATGATAGGAGGTAAACTATTTTTATCGTTCTTGTTTCCAAGGAACTAGCTGTGTTTGTGAGAAGGCTGCAGGTCACAAAAATTCATAGTAAATCTGTACTTTGTGCCATTGCAGTAACTTTAAGAAGTATTACATAACAGCAAAATCTCTTTTTTTTTTTCTGCAATAGGATTATTACAAAAACTTCACCATCAAGTAGTGATTGGTGTTCTTTCTTGTGGATGTCTCGTGGATGGACTTTCTGTTGGAACAGACTGTAGTGATGTGAAACATTTCTAAAAACACGTAGAATTAACTAGGTCTCACTCATGTGCCCTAGCCTGAGTAGGTAATCCCAGGGAGATTCCTGTGTGTTTGTACTTCCACAGCACATCATCACTTTTTATTCCTTTTCCCCCTGGCTGGTTTCACCTTCATGTTCCCCCATGCAGTTTCACATTTACTTGCAGCTGTAGACCTCTGCCTATTCAAACACCTTAACATAATGACTGGCTAGTAAACCAAAACTAGTATCTCAGGCTTTTCTGAACCTTCCTGAATGATACAAATTTTCCAACCTATCTTAAGCGATACTACAGGGAAGAAAACAATCTTTTTACCAAGGATATTGTTCTGTGTTTTGTGGCTCCTAATGTATTCCAGGGACAACCTCATCGAAGGAAAAGATTTTCCTGGCACAACAAAAAAAATTCTCAAAGCAGCTGCCAGATAGTTTCAGCTTTGACTTGTTTGCATTTATTGGGCCTGGAGTTGGTTCAATGAGGCGTTTCGTGTCTGCCTTGTGTCAACAGTTTGTGAAGCCTTGAAGAAACTCCAGTGAACCCTCCCTCCCCCCATGCAAATTAAAAGTGAGGCTGCAGCAGCTGTAACCGGAGGGCTAGAAGCTGGAAAATGTCACACCACAGTTGAAGTGAAACTGATCTAAATCTATGATGTGATGATTCCTTTAAAAAAAAAAAATCCAAACAAATGCAAGCTACTTTTAATACACAACATTTTCCACGAGTGCTGTGGAGAGGGTTTATATATGGAAAGATATTTTGAAGGTTAACAAATGTTTGTGTAGCTAATAGTTCTTGATGTTAAGTATTAACAAACACTTGTTCGCTAGCAAATTATTATCGAACAGTTGCTCACACTAAAACATAAACATAGCTTTTAAGAGCCACCTAACTGTAACGCTGGATCGGGAAGCAAACCGGCTTAGCTAAAAAGTCTGTCACAGAAGAGAGTGAGGATTAAAAGAGGAAAATAGGCTTCTGAGTAAGATAACATGAGGTAGCCTGTAACTACAGGCACTTGTTACAGTATGATAAGAAGGAGGTCGCCAACACACATATCTATGGATCCACTGAGGTTTACAGTTACTTACTGCTTTCCTTTCAGTCATCCAATTCCTGAAGCTCTGTGTAACCTAGAGCATCTGTTTTTCTGGATTATGTTCCATTTACCTGATCTCAGCCTGTGACTCCCAGGAATTCCCAGAACATGCTCTAGTTACTTGAAAAACCTCAAAATGACTCTAGTTTATGCCTGCAGGACAACAGAGTTGCAACAAAAAGTGAGGGGTTTTCTCCACATCATGCAAATAAACCTATGTGCTCTAATAACTAATTAATTCATTGCAGACCGATTTGTATAACAGAAGTGCGTGGGCAGACAGATGAGTTTTTGCTGGAGGGCAGTGTTTAGCTGAAGCTTTAGCTGTTAGCCCTTCTGGGTATTTAACTAAATACCCAGACATTTCTTTGTTTGAGTTTGTTGGTTTGACATTTCTTTGTTGTTGTTTGAGGCTTCTTAACTGCCTTTTACTGTGAAGACTTTGCTTTTTATGCTGTGGAGTCTGAAGGTCCAACTTCACCCTGCCTGCAGTGTGCACGTGGAGAACAAACCCCACAATTTTATAGTGAAACCATAAGAGGTTAGACTGCTGAAGCATCATTTCTCCAGTTTTGTGGGTCTGCTTCCCTTTTGAGCCCCTCTGTCTTTCATGGCCATTTTCCTCTTCTCAGAGGATGAGAAGTTCTCCTACTTTAGGAAGCAGAAAAAGTGGATGTAATTGCTGGAAGTTCTTACATTCTCCAGGGCTCAGGTAACCGCCTTTAATTGCTGGCAGCAGTTAGGCAATTAGCTGCTCTCTGAGCAGTATAAACACTTCAGGACCTTTGAGACTTCTCTGGGAGAAGTCTTGAGATTGCTTGTCCTTGTTCTTGTCGAGGACTTCAACTTCCCAGATATCTGCTGGAAATACAGCACAGCAGAGAGGGAACAGTCCCAGAGGTTCCTAGAGTGTGTTGAAGATAACTTCCTTGTGCAGCTGGTGAGTGAAGCTACCAGAGAAGGCATCCTGCTGGACCTGCTCTTTATGAACAGAGAAGGACTGGTGGGTGATGTAACACTTGGAGGCTGTCTAGGGAACAGCGATCATAAAATGATTTTTCTCTATTCTTAGAGAAGTAAGGAGGGGAGGGGAGCAGCAGAACTGCAGCCTTGGACTTCCAAAGGGCAGACTTTGACTTATTTGGGAGACTGCTTGACAGAGTCCCTTGGGAGGCAGTCCTGAAGGGCACAGGAGCCCAGGAACACTGGACATTCTTCAAGAAAGAAATGTTAAAGGCACAGAAACAGGCCGTCTCCATGTGCTCTAGGAAGCAGCAAAGAACACCAGCCTGGATGAACAGGGATCTTTGACTGCGATTTAGGAAAAAAAGAAGATTTTATGGCCTTTGGAAGAAAGGGCAGGCCACACATGATGACTACAAAGATGTGAGGCTATGCAGGGAGAAATCAGAAAGTCCAAAGCCTAACTAGAAATTAATCTGGCTTTTTCTGTAAAAGACAAGAAATCTTTCTATAAACACATCACCAGCAAAAGAAGGGCCAGGGAGAGCCTCCATCCTCTTTCAGATGCAGGAAGAAACATGGTGACTAAGGATGAGGAAAAGGCTGAAGTGCTTAATGCCATCTTTGCCTCAGTCTTTAGTAAAATGACCAATTGTATTTTAGGAATCCAGACCCCTGGAGCTAGAAGACGGAGACTGGGAGCAGAATGATCCCCCCGCAATCCAGGAAGAGATGGTCAGTGACCTGCTGCACCACACAGACATACACAAGTCTATGGGACCAGATGGAATCCACCCAAGAGTTCTAATATTGCTGGCAATATTAGAAGTGCTCACCAAGTCACTTTCCATCACTTTTCATCAGTCCTGGCTAACTGGTGAGGTCCCAGCAAACTGGAAATTAGCCAGTGGGGCACCAATTCACAGGAAGGGCTGGAAGAAGAATCCAGGAATCTACAGGCCTGTCAGTTTGACTGCAGTGCCTGGGAAGCTGATGGAACAGATCATCTTGAGCACCAGCATAGGCAGGACAACCAGATGATGAGGCTGAGTCAGCATGGGTTTATGAAAGGCAGGCCCTGCATGACAAACCTGATCTTTTCTACAACGTGGTCACCTGCCTAGTGAATGAGGGAAAGGCTGTGGATGTTGTCTATCTGGATTTAGTAAAGCCTTTGACAGCATTTCCCAGAGTGCTCCTGGAGAAGCTGGCTGCTCTTAGCTTGGATGGGCATAGTCTTTGCTGGGTGAAAAACTCTCTGGGTGGCCAGGCCCAAAGAGTGGGTCCAGAGGAGAGCGACGAGGCTGGTGAAGGGACTAGAGGGAAAGTCCTATGAGGAGAGGCTGAGGGAGCTGGGGGTGTTTAGCCTGGAGAAGAGGAGTCTGAGGGGAGACGTTATCGCTCTCTACAACTACCTGACAGGAGGTTGTAGAGAAGTGGGGATTGGTCTGCTCAACCAAGTAACAAGCAATAGGACAAGAGGAAATGGCCTCGAGTTGTGCCAAGGGAAGTTTAGCCTTGACAGTAGGAAGAATTTCTTTCCTGAAAAGGTTATCAGACATTGGAACAGGCTGCCCAGGCTCCCCTTCCCTGGAGGTATTTCAGAGTCGTGTAGAGATAGTGCTGAGAGATGTGGTTTAGTCAAGGACTTGTCTGTCAGGTTAATGGTTGGACTCAATGATCTTAAAGGTCTTTTCCAATCTGGGCAAATCTGTGACTGTGAGAATTCGCTTGAGACAGAGGCACCACAGTTTGAGGAAATGCAGATCTAAAGACAAGTACGATTGTTGCAAAGCATCTGCACAAGAAACACAGAAACTTCAGTCTGACATTGTGAGGGGCATCTTTTATTGGTTTCTGGCATTCTTAAAGTTGTTTTAAGCTTTGTAAGAAGCTATACAGATTGCACTATAAAGATACTGTTTTACTAGACTGAACCATTAAGAGCACAGTCAATAATTAATGCACCAAAACAAGGAGTCATCATATGATTTTCATTCTATATTTAACTTAATTCTGGTTAGCTCATAGTCTTTCCGTCCTTCATCTGATGACAATCCAAAGGAACATGCGTTTTTGTAATGTAGGGACTTTCTCCACTATTAAGCCAAATTTTGAGATTCTTGATGTAGCAAATACATTGCTGCCTATAGTGTTTATTCTTTTTCGGTTTTTTTTTGTAATGCTACTGAAGTCATGTTCCTTCAACTGTAAAAGATATTCTCTGCTGGGCATTGAGATTTATCAGCTCTGGTGACTGTGGCCATCTGACAAGTTATACTCGTGCCAGGTCTGCGTGGTTACTCCCGATTCTTGTCACTACGCTGAGTCAGCCTTCAGTCTTGTTTTGGAAATGCCAGGTTTTGCATATCTGGGGTTTCTGTTCAGGGCTTGCCATCAAGTTCCTGTAAGCTACAAAGACTGCTCTACTGCAGCCTAGCATCTTTTGTAGGTGATTCTCTGTTACGTGTTGCATGGGGAAAAATTAGTAACACTAAATGCATAAATCAGTTGGATTGAGGCTGGGATTCACCTCTGTGACCTTCGTATCACCTGGAAGTTAAGACCTAGCCTGTTCACTCATCTGTGGTGCACCTGACATGAAGCCTATCCTTTGGACTTTTTTTATAAAATGGGGAATCTCCTCTCCTAGCATGAAAAAGGTTTTGGCCTTTCAACTGTAGAGAATACAGTTTTGTAACAAGAAACAGCTGAGCGGTTAATTTTGAACAAAATCTAACACAGAATTCTTGGGACGTAAACTGATTTTTCTAATCAATATTTTCTGGGTAGTGAGACTTATTCCACATCAGAAAAGTCCACTGCAGCTTTACAATATTCTAGCATGCTTTTTTTTCCAACACTTTTGTACCCTTAGCAATTTGGCAAGTTTAAAAATAGCAAACTCATAGAATATTGTTTCATGAACAACTCAAACTCAGCAAAGGTATCCTTGTTGAAGTCTATGAATAGCCAAAGATGTAACAGCCAAGAACACTGCTCAGAGCTGAGATATGCAATACAAAGGAAGGCTCACCCAGCCTGAGAAATTATCCTTTTAACTGCTGGATTTGGCACATGTATGGCTGCTATGTGATTTTTTTTATATAAGAGCATTTAAAAGACAAGTATAAGAGATCCCTTAAAAATATCTACAGCCAGGAGTCTGCTATAGTAATAGCTAGCATGTCTTACAGTTGCATCATCTTCTAAAATTTACTGTGAATAAGCAAGGATAAAATGTTCTGCTCTTAAGAAAAAAAAACAGCTACCTTGGAATTTGCAACAAATACTTACACAAACTAAAGAAGTTCTTAATAAGAATTGTCATCTCTAACAATCTCAGTGACTGGACAGAACTTTCGATCTCACAACTGAAATAAATGTAAGCAGAAAAAGAAGGTAAGTCAACGTGTTTGCTGCCCTAGTGCATATTCCTGAGGTGGTGAAATGATCAGGAGACCCTTTATATATTCTTCATTCTGATGACGGCTTGTTCTGGCTCACCAGCAACTTCATTTCTTGCTTATCTATGCTGGAATTTACACTTTCAGCCTCTTTTTCTTGCTCAGGTACACAAGTGCAGCCTACTGGGATAGTGACATAATCTTCCGAGTAGACGTAACGGCCCCCAGCACACGATGACGTGCGGCGGAGGATGACTGTTGGCATGTACACAGGGGTGCTGCGGAAATGAAAATTCTCCTCGCCAAAGATCCCCATGAGGCAGCCCTTGCACAGGCAGTATGCTTCAGGAATGTATTTAGGATATCTTGTGGGATCATATGAAATCCTACAGGGAAGAAAATATTAAAGATTCATTAGTATCTCTAAAAATAGACATATTCATCTGGAAGACATTATAATAATGTGATTTCATCGTAAACATTTATATAATGTTTATGTTTTCTTGGCCAGGAAAATAGCTGTAGCTGTTGCTGCCTGGGTTCTTATTTATAAAGCGTAAAGAAAAAACATGAACAACTCATAGAAGTGATCGGGCCCTACAGTGCACACTGAAGGATGAAGTGTCTGGCTTTCTAAAATACGAGATTCAGGGGTTTAAGCAGAGTAAGTTTTGTATTTTGGACTGAACGGGTAAACAGAGCATTACAAAGAACGCTTGGGCATTTCCAAACTTTGGATCTGCCTTGATTTCTTCAAAAATCGGTGCAAATCTTCAATACTCTTCTAACCAGAGAAGAGTAACATTTGCATGGTCACACCGAGATAAACTGCAAAGTTAAATGTTGTTCTTCCCCTCTCCTGCTACATTTTGAAGTTAAGCATTGCCCCAAAGCTTCACGAGTACAGCTTCTATTTTTTGTTGTCTTTCAGTTTGCTGTTTGACCTTTTCTTTATTTGCATATTAATGCCCTGTCTCTGGAAATTCCTGACTAGCAGGAGCTGCAAAGCTTGTAACCTAAGTACAGCTTGGACCAACAAAGTCCAGGTTCCAACATTCCTCTCTGGATGAACTGGACACAGAAACAGGGATATGATACTACAGTCTCAAGTCATACAGATCCTGGCTGACATATAGCCGTTGTTTTTAGCCAACAGAGTAAAGCTGAAAGTCTGCTTGGTTTTTGAAATAAAAGACTAAGTAGACAGCAGAGTACGTGTACTGGAGTGTGTCCCCAACGCTGCTTATTTTGGTGGTGATGTATTTGTTGCTTTTTTCTTCACCTGCTTCTCCTGCTTATACTGGAAGTAATTGCTGGGCATGGCTGTAACTTGTGCATGATTACAATGGTTGTTACTGTTTTAGAAAAGATGTTTGCACCTCCAGAAAAAGTGGAGGGTTTAATATATTTAACTTCTATGCCTGCTGTCCTTTAAGCTTCCTCCAGATCACCTTCTGCTCTCACGCCACTACAAGACTGGCCCTGCCTCAGCCCTGTCCAGCTGGAGAGGGATGACTGCTCTCTTCGGCTGGAGGAGTGTTCAGCCCAGAAGTGCTGCCAGCCACCTCGCCGTGCTCCCTGCCCTGAGCCCGTCCCCACTTCAGGAGCGTGCTGACCTCACGTGAGAAGCACTTGCCCACCTGTCAGGTGACAGAAAACCCTCTTCTGCCCTTTCCCCCCGCTCCTACTTTTACACAGTAAATGGTTGGAGCTACACGTGGTGCACAGAAGTGTCCTACAGGTAGAGAGCATGAAGACACAGTGGGACATCATGTAGTCCAGATGCCTCCATGAGGCAAGCTCCATCCCTGGAGGCATTCAAAAAACATGCAGACGTGGCACTTTGGGACATGGTTTAGTGCTCATGGTAGTGCTGGGTAGATGGCTGGACTAGATGATCTTCAAGGTCTTTTCCAACCTTAATGATTTTATGATTCTATGTATTTGGCCATATTTGTCCAGCCTGTTCTTAAACCCCTCCAGAGGAGATCCTCAGCCTGCCCAGAGGTTCTGTTGCAGTTATTTCACTGCCTCTTTACTTGGAAAGTTTTCCTAACAGTGAAGCGGAGTATTTTTTTCTTGTAAAATAAATCAATCATTTCCCGTGTCTGGGTGGGAAATTACAGCAGCTGAGGCTAAACACTGAGTCAAAGATTTGATACCGGAAAATGTTCAAGCCAGTAATGTTTACTGTGAAATGCTGCAAAAACAATAAAAATTCTTGCGCTGGGTTTTAAGCCGTTCTCTACTTGGGATCGGGATAGGATGACCAAGCAGATGAAGTGAGATGACTGCATAAGAAAAATTAATTAATTAAATACCTGTCACCAACATAATTATTTATGAGATGATACCTAATATTGAGCATACAATGCCCGCCCTTACACAACAATTTCAAAATAATCAGTTTTGAAAACTGAGACAGATCTAAAGTGATTCCTAAATTATGTTTCCCAGGGCTTGTACCACTTCCTCGGGTATCAGAGTGTTAGTCTTTTATCTTCTCAGCGGTCTCTGAGATTACAAGATTTCAGCTGAGGAAGAGGCAGCATTTAGTCTGCCTTGAGTTGTGATTGCTTCTAGTCAACAAAATCCGTGCTTCCCAAAACAGGCAGCCTGCTCCTCTCTCGCCTCCAGACGTGGATTGGTGCTGATCTCCTTTCCGGTCACAGGATTGATCAGAGAATCCATCCAACTGAAGAGGAATTTCATCAAAAGCTGGATTTTAGTGCTTCAGCTAGCTTGCCACATACACACAGAGACCTACACAAACAAGCCAGTGTGAATAAGAAGCTGTAGAGGGGCACAGAAGGGAGCTGCCCTTTTCAGAAGTACCACCAGTTTATCAGGTTAAAACAAATCTTTAGCCAAACACAAACTTGATTGTCCTACCATCAAAGAAAAGAGACTTTTTTTTTTCCCTGCCTGCAATGACCTGGATTCCTTGTCTTTTTGAGGAATTTCTTTTCCTCACAGAAAAATCTAGCCTGTTCTCTCATAGCCAGACATCTGTGATGTTGCAGGTATTTTTTGCAAAGCTTCTCTGTCCCATTTATACTTGCTTACTTTCCCCAGGAAATACCTTCGTGTTACAGGATCTCACACCAACGTGAAATAAAATGTCTGGTAGCCGGCAGAAGGGAAGAAAGTGGAATACAGGCTTTTCTGCCGTGATACATTCCCATTTCAAACTCAAGTGTGAGTAATTTCAGTGGTGGATTGTTAAACACACCATATGTCAAGTCACTGGTATTTCCTCTGCTGTATTATCTCTAGCACCTGGTTTATGATGTTACTGGAAAGCATGAACATGTTTCTGGATGCAAACATAAGAGTTTTCACTAATAACAAGAGAACACTGTCACTGGAATCATGGTTCACAATGAACTTCCCCCTCCAAATCCCTACAGGGAAAAAGTCAGGTATAAATGAGGGGGTTTTGGAAGGATGGCATAGTGTGGTTTTCTACTTTCCATAGGAAAATCTCTTACATTGCTAAGTTTGACGTAGATACCTCTACTCCATCATATGTGGATTGGAAGGAATCAGAGGATCCAAACCCAAAGATGGATCCAAAATATAGATGTAGCTTTTCAGCCAGAGGAGAACTTTAAGGCTGAAGGTGCAAAATAATGACTCCTGGAATTAAATACTGAACTTGAATGTCATAGAATCATAGAATCATTAAGGTTAAGAAAGACCTCTTAAGATCATCAAGTCCAACTGTCAACCCAACACTACTGTGACCACTAAACCACGTCCTGAAGTGCCACATCCACACGTTTCTTGAACACCTCCAGGAATGGCGACTCCACTACTTCCCTGGACAGCCTGTCCCAATGCTTCACCACTTTTTTAGTAAAGACTTTTCTTCTAAGCTTCACCACTTTTTTAGTAAAGACTTTTTTTCTAATACCCAGTCTAAACCCCCTTCCCTGCACAACTTGAGCCCATTTCCTCTTGTCCTATCGCTTCTTACTTGGGAGAAGAGACTAACTCTGGAGCCATATCCAAGGTTCTATATCTTCAGCTTGAACCTGTTAGGAAAGACCATACAACTAAAGCTTCATTTTCATCTCTCTAGGCAACCGAGACTGATTTGGGTCTGAACCACTAACAAACACCAGTAACCAAGCTGTGTAAATGCAGTTTTGTGACCGGCTTCCTCTGTTTGCACGTACTGAACATAACCAGCCCATACATAAAATGACCACAGCCTCCATCACTCTAAGTGCTACAAGCCATGTTTTTATGTCTTCTCCTAGAACAGGGCAAATATGTTTCATCAGGTTAATTAACCAGATAAAATGCACGCTTTGATTTCCCACTGACTGTTCCCTACCCGCAGTGAGAG